TCTGGGCAAACACACTGCTGCGACCACCGCTGCTACCAATGTTTATCAGAGTGCAGGCACTGTACTTCCCATCTCCAGGACTCAAGTCCAGCCTGCCGGTTTCCCTGAACCCCTTCATAAATGTTACTTTGCTCACACTCCAACAGCACGTCAAGTATTAAAAACCATTTGTCTCCATTCACTCCTATCAAACACGCTCACGCATGCCTGCTGGAAGTCCATGCCCCTCGCACACAAAACCTCCTTACCCCCTCCCTCCAACCTTTCCTAGGCTGACCCCTACCCTGCCTTCCTTCCACTACAGACTGATACACTCTTGAAGTCATTCTGTTTCACTCCATTCTCTCTACATGTCCGAACCACCTCAACAACCCTTCCTCAGCCCTCTGGACAACAGTTTTGGCAATCCCGCACCTCCTCCTAACTTCCAAACTACAAATTCTCTGCATTATATTCACACCACACATTGCCCTCAGACATGACATCTCCACTGCCTCCAGCCTTCTCCTCACTGCAACATTCATCACCCATGCTTCACAACCATATAAGAGCGTTGGTAAAACTATACTCTCATACATTCCCCTCTTTGCCTCCAAGGACAAAGTTCTTTGTCTCCAGAGACTCCTAAGTGCACCACTCACCCTTTTCCCCTCATCAGTTCTATGATTCACCTCATCATTCATAGACCCATCCGCTGACACGTCCACTCCCAAATATCTGAATACATTCACCTCCTCCATACTCTCTCCCTCCAATCTGATATCCAATCTTTCATCACCTAATCTTTTTGATAAATTAGACACATGTGCAACTCTTGGGTATCTTTATTGAGGAAACGTTTCGCCACACAGTGGCTTCATCAGTCCATACAAAGGAGAATCTTGAAGAATAGGAGGAGAATGAGGTAATCAGTCCCTCAACCTTGAGTCGATGTGGTCAGTCCATCAATCTTGAATAGAATACGGCATACGTGCTGAGAAGGAGCTTATAAACCGTTGGCACGTATGCCGTATTCTATTCAAGATTGATGGACTGACCACATCGACTCAAGGTTGAGGGACTGATTACCTCATTCTCCTCCTATTCTTCAAGATTCTCCTTTGTATGGACTGATGAAGCCACTGTGTGGCGAAACGTTTCCTCAATAAAGATACCCAAGAGTTGCACATGTGTCTAATTTATCAACATGTCGGTTCTCTGAACCATTCATCTACAAACCTGTCAGACACTGCATCTTCTTGGGATCTTAATACTTGGGAATTCTTCGCTTGCCTAATTCTTGGGCACGACCTACTTCAACATTGAACAAGTGTTACACTGCCTCTGACTGCTTCACCTCTCCTGCCAACGGTTTATAAGCTCCTTCTCAGCACGTATGCCATATTCTATTCAAGATTGATGGCCTGACCACATCGACTCAAGGTTGAGGGACTGATTACCTCATTCTCCTCCTATTCTTCAAGATTCTCCTTTGTATGGACTGATGAAGCCACTGTGTGGCGAAACGTTTCCTCAATAAAGATACCCAAGAGTTGCACATGTGTCTAATTTATCAACATGTCGGTTCTCTGAACCATTCATCTACAAACCTAATCTTTTTGTTATCCTCATAAGCTTACTGTAGCTCTAACTCTATTAGAAATCCCTGACCTAATCCCATTTATTTCTTCCCACTGAAACTCTCAATTCCCTTCAGTTTAGTTTCACTTAGAGCCAGGACATCCAACTTCTTTTCATTCCTAACATCCACGATTATCTCTTTCCTATCATCTGTACCACATCCACGCACATTCAAACTATTTTTCATTTGACAGCAACTTTCGCTTTACAGCAGTAGCCCAGAACCTAACAAGCTGTATAAGAGGGGCCTGCCTGTATAATAAGTCAATGAATATGGGACAGTTACCAAAGATCTGGAAGACAGCACATGTGGTCCCTATATTTAAGAAAGAAGACAGATGTTAAAATATTGACTAGTTTCTCTGTTTTGCATTACTTGCAAGGTGATGGAGAAATTTACTAGCGGATGAGTGGTAGAACACTTGGAGAGAAGTGCTGTCATAAACGATAGCCAGTATGAGTTTAGGAATAACAAATCTTAATGTTTCTAATTTGTTAGAGTTCTATGCCAAAGCAACAGATGTGGGAGGGAGAGGATTGGATTGATTGCAGTTTTTTTTAGATTGGAAGAAGGCATTGATACTGTAACCAGCAAAAGGATGGGCCAAAAGCTTGAGATTCAGGTGGGAATGTCAGGGAACATACTCTGGTGGATCAAAGAGTATCTTTGGGGGAGGAAACAAAGAATGACTGTTAGGAAAGAGACATCAGAACGAGGAAATGTTTTAACATCTGAATCCAAAAACTAATAAAATCACCTTGATATTTTTTTTTTTTTAACGTGACATCTGTCCAAATCTCCATGGGAAAATGGAACAGAATTGTACCTCTGTAAGCCATGCATGCTGTAAGAGGCAACTAAAATGCTGGGAGCAAGGGGCTAGTAGTGTCTTTTGCATATATTACTAAATTTAAAAGGAGAAGCTATTGTTTTTCCTTTTGAGCCACCCTGCATTGGTGAGATACAGCCAGTTTGTTGAAAGAAGATCCATCCAAGTGCCTGTAAGTTGTTCTCTCTCTTTTAATAGTAATTTAGAGATGCACGGAAAGGATTTTGAACCCAGTCTAATGCATGTTGGAGGAGGAAAATATCCTAATTGTCGTATGCAGCTCAGAAAGATTTATCACTAAGATTTTTATATTTTCACTGTGCAGAGACCTGCATACATTAATATATATTGTATTGCTTAAACATGCCAAAGCACAGGACATTTTTCTTATCATAGCTGTTTCATGAGTGAATTGATCAAATTGAAAATTTCTTTGCCGTAGTTTAGTAGGAATAGGCTTGCAAATAAGCACATCTCAATAGATTCAACTGTATAGCACACAAACTCAACACTGCTAAACCTATAAAATTGGTGGATTCATATGTTTGTTGTGATAAACTTACTGGATTCAGTTTTACCTGTCTTTTTAGGTCTGCTTCACATAAAGCTGACATGTTGTTTATGAGTTTATAACCTAAATTATTATGACAGATACACAATAATTTTTTTCTGCAAAAATTTTCGTGTCATACATTCTGCCAGTTGTTTTGCATGCAGTTTTATTGTACTACTTTCTTCAATAGTACTGTATGAGTTTCACCTGCATTTGCTATGCATTAGTTAATGTGGCTTGAGGCCACTTATCTCTCTTCCTCCTCTTCATGTTTCTGCACTTCCTGTTTTATTTCTCACTCCTACCATGGAAAATCCTTACAGTACATGTACATATTTTCTTTTCTCCTTTTTTTACTGGAGTGTCACTCTCAACTGTCACCTCTAGGTTGCAAATTCTTAATCATTTTTAATCCCACTATGATGCTACTGCTGTGTACACTGGTGGCTCAGAATCCTTTTGCTTGTTTAGGATATACTGCTAGTTAGGATATACTGCTCTTTCATGATCTTATTTAGGAAAAATTATTTGGTATTGAAAGTGTAGTCAGCAAGTACTACTCATGAATACACTTCTGCTGTTATCCGTATCGCTACTGTGTCTGCCTCATTCTTTGTTGTAGTGGAGGTTTTAACTATAATTGTGAATTTTAAGGAATCCAGACATTCAGTTCATCCCAACCTGTTGTCCTTGTAGTCATTATTGGCTCTCTTGTTTTTCAGTAAACAAAAATTACCTTTCTTTGGATCCCTAAATACTCCCATGTTGGATTCTGTGAATTTACAAACTTGCAAGTTCAGCAAATTCTTCCATAGGAAATTACTTTCCTGAATGCAATATTTCCTTGTCCTGAGGAAGCACTATGTGGTATCATTGGCAGTATCACTCGTGTATTTGTGACAAACAAGGTATTTTTCATAAATCTACACTTTGCCTTCAGGCCATTCTCACTTTGTTGTCATTAACTGCAGGAGGCATTTCTTTCACAACTACTTATGTCATCTCATGAGAGGTCATCTTGCTCCATGACAGCATTGTGAGATCATGATTGTTCAAAACATTTTAATACCCTGTTTATAAGAGATTGTGTCTATTTTATTTTCAGCCCTCACCTCTTTCATTGGCTTATTAACTCTGTCTGCCCTTCTTTATGAGACTACTGGCCTTAACACAGTTGCTGTCTTTGGCTTTTGCTGATGAATTCTTGTGTTATTTCACCTTTTTTCTGATTACTTTCTGTATTTTGTGATATGCACCTTTCTCTACCTGTATCATTGAATGACCTCCACAGACTTAGTGCTTTTCATAAATATGATTACCATTGAACCTAGGTAGCAGGTTGGTAGACAGCAACCACCCAGGGAGGTACTACCGTCCTGCCAATTGAATGTAAAACAGAAGCCTATAATTGTTTTATATGATCGTAGGATTGCTGGTGTCTTTTTTCTGTCTCATAAACATGCAAAATTTCAGGTACATCTTGCTACTTCTACTTACACTTAGGCCACACTACACTTGAAGCAGAACAGAATTCCTCCTTCGTAAGCCATGGATGTCGTAAGAGGCAACTAACATGCCAGAGCAAGGGGCTAGTAACCCCTTCTCCTGTATACATTACTAAAGTTAAAAAGATAAACTTTTCTTTTTCTTTTTGGGCCACTCTGCTTTAGTGGGATACAGCCGGTTTGTTGAAAGAAGATGATGATTACGATTGGAGATAATGCTGTTCCATCTTTGGAGATGCTTGTTGGTATCCAGTTTAATATTTCGTCCAATTTCAGAATTTTAGAGTTTTCTAAGTGCTTTTAATTTCTATCAATGATTCCATCAGTGAATTCATCTTGTTGGGTAAAAGATAAATGCTAGATGTTGTATTGCAATGCTATGTTGTCTTGTAATGCTATGAATACAGTTCTGATATGCATAAATTTTAAGTATATGCTCTTAAATTAAAATTATTTGTAATTTATTTATCAAATGTTTAATGTTTTCCTCAGGCACTATGAGATTTTGTATCCTGGTCAGTGTGAATATAGATTAGCGAGGAAGTTACGATGCTCTCCTGTTTATAGCGAACAGGAAGCTCAGGGAGCAGTCTTTGGAACACGAATGGGCTTCGAGCGTCCACTGTATTTTGATATCACCCATTCAAGTAAGCTAATAATTTTTGTACACTGAAAAAATGTGTAAATTCTGAAACATTTTTAAAGTAAGTACAGCTCACCATCGATTAAGATGGTACTGTACTGTAGTTACGTTTCTGAAAATGGTGTCTAATTAAACAACTGTGTGAAATGAACTGAAGACCATAGGGGAAGATAGAATTACATTCCTCAGACCTCCAAGATGCCTTCCACATTTTTTAAATTTCTTATTTCTTCAAAAATAATGAAGTTTTGACACCTTACATTGTACATGATGTTGCTTGTTGATTTAAAAATATATGTCATATATCCAAATCTTAAATATAAACTTAGTTGGTGTTTGACTAAATACAGTGGAACCTCAGTTGTCGACTGAATTGCTTGTCGAACAAATCGTTTTTTAACGAGGAATTCGAGAAAAAATGCCCTGGGTTTCATATGTTCTCTTGGTTGTTGACAGTTGGTTTGATAATTTTAAGAAAAGAAGTGGCATTCATAGTGTGGGCAGGCATGGAGAGGCTGCCAGTGCTGACAAAGTGGCTGTTGAAAAGTACGTTACTGAATTCCAAGAGCACATAGAGGCTGAGGGGTTTGTCCCCCCAACAGGTGTTTCTGATGAGACAGGCCTTTTCTGGAAGAAAATGCCCAAGAGGACCTACATGACTGCAGAGGAAAGACCTACATGACTGCAGAGGAAAAGTCAATGCCAGGACACAAGCCACTGAAAGATAGGCTCACTCTGTTACTGTGTGGTAATGCAAGTGGGGACTTGAAACTGAAGCCCTTATTTGTTTATCATTCTGAAAATCCGTGAGTTTTTAAGAAAAACAATGTTTTGAAAAGCAAATTGGCTGTAATGTGGTAGGCCAACAGGAAAGCTTGGGTAACAAGACAATTTTTTATTGAGTGGGTTCATTAGGTCTTTGCTCCCCCTGTCAAAACATACCTCATTCAAAAACAATTTCCACTCAGGCCCTTTTACTTATGGATAATGCTCCTCCACACCCTTCAAGCTTGGAAAATGAGTTGCTGGAGAAGTTCAGTTTTATAACTGTGAAGCTCTTCCTCCTAACATCACTCCTCTCATCCAGCCTATGGACCATCAGGTCATTTCTAACTTCAAGAAACTCTACACCAAAGCACTTTTTGAAAGGTGCTTTGAAATCACTTCAGAAACAAATTTAACCCTCAGGGAGTTCTGGAAGGATCATTTCAATATCCTCACCTTTTTAAGGCTTATAGATAAAGCCTGGGGAAATGTGTCTTCCAGGACCATGCAGTCATCATGGAAGAAATTGTGGCCTGACTGTGTGGCAGCCAGGGATTTTGAAGGCTTTGAAGATGAGCCTGAGCTAATAGAGGATATTGTGTCCCTGGAAAAGACCTTGGGCCTAGAGGTGACTGAAGATGATGTGGAGGAGTTGGTGGAGGAGCACAGAATGGAACTCACCACAGAAGAACTTGTAGACTTTCAGAAGGAGCAGCAACCGATTGCAGCAGAGTAAGAGGCAGTTTAATTTTCATTTACTGTAGAGTATTTCAGTTAAAGTTTCTTTTAGTATTCATTTTTACAGTTTTATGCAGTAGTTAGTACATTTTTAATGAATTATTATACAGTGGACCCCCGCATAACGATCACCTCCGAATGCGACCAATTATGTAAGTGTATTTATGTAAGTGCGTTTGTACGTGTATGTTTGGGGGTCTGAAATGGACTAATCTACTTCACAATATTCCTTACGGGAACAAATTCGGTCAGTACTGGCACCTGAACATACTTCTGGAGTGAAAAAATATCGTTAACCGGGGGTCCACTGTATTGTCATTTGGGGTCTGAAATGGATTAATTCTATTTATATTATTCCTTATGGGAAAAATTGCTTTAGTTGTCATTCATTTTGGTTGCCAGATCAACATCTGGAACAAATTACATTCAAAAACCAAGGTTTCACTATAAACTTAATTGGTGTTTGACATGAGTATTTGCTTAATATCTCTGGTATCTTATTTTCATTAATAAGATTCCTAGACATATCACAGGTTATTATACTGTCTCTCTCTGTATCAGTAAGTGGACAATTTAGTACATAGCATTCCAGAAAGTGACCATAAAGCTGACCACATACTTTGCTATTAGTTTGATCATCATTTTTTGTGTGAGAGTAACAAGTTAAGAAAGCCTAGGGAGAAAATGGATTTGTCAGTTAAAAACAGAGTAGGGGAGTAGTAGATGGGGAACTGGAGGTATTAGGTAGATGGCGGAAATATTTTGAGGAACTTTTAAATGTCGATGAAGAAAGGAAGGTGGTAATTTCATCCACGAGTCAGGGAGGTATAACATCTTTTAGGAGTGAAGAAGAGCAGGATGTGAGTGTGGGGGAGGTGCATGAGGCATTACGTAGAATGAAAGGGGGTAAAGCAGCTGGAACTGACAGGATCATGACAGAAATGTTAAAAGCAGGGGGGGGGACATAGTGTTGGAGTGGATGGTATTCTTGATTAATAAATGTATGAAAGAGGGGAAGGTACCTAGGGATTGGCAGAGAGCTTGTATAGTTCCTATATATAAAGGGAAGGGGGACAAAAGAGATTGTAAAAATTATAGGGGAATAAGTTTACTGAGTATACCAGGAATAGTGTACAGTAGGGTTATTATTGAAAGAATTAGAGGTAAGACAGAGAGTAAGATTTTGGATGAGCAAGGAGGCTTTAGAGTGGGTAGGGGATGGGTAGATCAAGTGCTGACATTGAAGCATATATGTGAACAGTATTTAAATAAAGGTAGGGAAGTTTTCATTGCATTTATGGATCTAGAAAAAGCATATGATAAAGTGGATAAGGGAGCAATGTGGCAAATGTTGCAATTATATAAGAAGAACATAAGAACATAAGAACGAAGGAACACTGCAGAAGGCCTACTGGCCCATGCGAGGCAGGTCCAAGTCTCCCACCGGCTTAAGCCAATGCACCCAACCTAGTCAGGTCAGGTCACACTGACTTAAGGGAGGAACACGGCAACCGACCTGGTAGCACAAGCTATCAGGTCTAACTCACACCCACCCACATCTACTCATGTATTTATCCAACCTATTTTTAAAGCTACACAACGTTCTGGCCTCTATAACGGTACTTGGGAGTTTGTTCCACTCATCCACAACTCTATTACCAAACCAGTACTTTCCTATATCCTCCTGAATCTGAATTTTTCCAACTTAAAACCATTGCTGCGAGTCCTGTCTAGGCTAGATATTTTCAGCACACTATTTACATCCCCTTTATTTATTCCTGTCTTCCATTTATACACCTCAATCATATCCCCCTAATTCTACGTCTTTCTAGAGAGTGCAGTTTCAGGGCCCTTAGTCTATCCTCATAGGGAAGGTTTCTGATACATGGGATCATCTTTGTCATCCTCCTTTGTACATTTTCCAGAGAATTTATATCCATTCTGTAATACGGTGACCAAAACTGTGCAGCATAATCTAAATGAGGCCTAACCAAGGATGTATAGAGTTGAAGAACAACCTGAGGACTCCTATTATTTATGCTTCTTGATATGAAGCCAAGGATTCTATTAGCTTTATTGCGAACACTTATGCACTGTTGTCTTGGTTTCAGATTACTGCTAACCAGAACTCCTAAATCTTTTTCGCAATCCGTAATATTAAGATCTACATTATTTAGTTTATATGTGGCATGGTTATTGTCCTGTCCAACATTTAGAACTTTGCATTTGTCTATATTAAACTGCATCTGCCACTTCTCCGACCACTGCATCAGTCTATTCAAATCTTCCTGGAGTGCTCGAATGTCCTCGTCAGAATGAATTCGACGGCCTATTTTGGTGTCATCGGCAAACTTGCCGATGTCGCTCTTTATGCCCTCATCTATGTCGTTTATGTAGATTGTGAACAGCAGGGGGCCCAACACTGACCCCTGTGGAACACCGCTCGTGACGCTTCCCCACTCTGATTTCTCCCCATTTATGCAAACTCTCTGCTGCCTATTTGTCAACCATGCCTCTATCCAGGAAAAAATTTCTCCTCCTATTCCATGTGCTTTAATTTTCCTCAATAGTCTCTGATGTGGGACCCTGTCAAAAGCCTTACTGAAGTCCATATACACAATATCATATTCATTACCATGATCTACCTCCTCAAATACCTTAGTGAAAAAAGTTAATAAATTCGTAAGGCAGGAACGCCCCTTTGTAAAACCATGCTGAGATTCGTTGATTAATTTATGCTTTTCAAGGTGGCTACGAACTGCCTCGGCAATTATTGATTCCATAAATTTTCCCACTATGGAGGTTAGGCTTATTGGTCTATAGTTCGAAGCTAAGGACCTGTCACCTGTTTTGAAAATAGGTATCACATTTGCCATTTTCCACTTATCTGGCACCATGCCAGTTTGTAGTGATATGTTGAAAAGATTAGCCAAAGGCGTGCTAAGCTCCTCTTTACATTCCTTTAGAACCCTTGCATACAGTTCATCAGGGCCTGGGGATTTGTTAGGTTTTAATTTATCTATTTGCCTAAGGACCATGTCACTTGTGACCCTAATAGTGCACAGTTTATTATCGTCCTGTTCTACATAATTTATCATTACTGGAATATCGCTGGTATCCTCCTGTGTAAAAACTGAGAGGAAGTATGTGTTAAAAATTCTACACATTTCCTTATCACTGTCAGTGAGCTGACCCGAGGAACTTTTGAGTGGGCCTATCTTGTCCCTGATCTTACTTCTGTATACCTGAAAGAATCCTTTTGGGTTAGTCTTCGATTCTCTTGCAACTTTAACCTCATAATCTCTATTTGCTTTTCTAATTCCCTTTTTTATTTCTCTCTTTAACTGAATATATCGATTTCTTAATTGCCCCTCTCCTCTTTTGATTTGCCTATATATGCCTCTCTTTTGACCAATCAGATATTTTAATCTATTGTTCATCCATTTAGGATCATTTTTGTTTGATCTGATTTCCCTATTTGGAACATAATTTGACTGAGCAGCTAGAACTATGCCCTGGAAAGCATCATATCGGCAACCATCACCACCTACCTGACCCCTAGTCAGGTCATTCCAGTTCAGCCCACCTAAGTAATTTTTCAGTCCTATGAAATCAGCCAAGCGAAAGTCAGGGACGGAGACTTGATTGCCATTATTAGGGGAATTCCATGATATGTTAAAACTGAGTGATTTGTGATCACTCTCCCCAAGCTCATCATTAACCTCAAGATTATTAATTAGTGTTTCCCTACTGGCAAGAACCAAGTCAAGGAGGTTATTTCCCCTAGTTGGCTCTGTCACAAACTGTTTTAAAAAACAATCCTGGGTCGTATCAAGAAAGTCACCCGACTCTAAATTTCCTGTCAAATTGCTCCAGTCAATCTGTCTATAGTTGAAATCTCCCATTAGCACAACATTTTCGTATGTAGATGCCTTACGAATTTCGTCCCATAGAAGTTTACTGCACTCCCTATCAAGATTTGGGGCCCTGTAAATCACACCCAAAATTAGTTTTTCTCGGCCCTCGAGAAGCTGTAACCAAACAGATTCAGTGGCTGACGCTTCTAATTTAATATCTTGTCTAACACAACAATTTAAATTGTCTCTGACATACATCGCTACTCCACCACCTTTCCTGTTGACCCTGTCAGTGTGGAATAATTTATAGCCTTGTATGTGACATTCAGAGGGCATCTCTCTATCTTTCAGATTGAGCCAGGTCTCTGTTATAGCAATAATATCTATGTTTCCTGCACTTGCAATTAATCTTAGCTCATCTATCTTATTTCTAACACTCCTGCTATTAGTATAGTAAACCTTAAGGGAGCTAGTCCCTTGCTGCCCTCTGCTGTCCCCCTTTGTTTGCTGACCTGTTCTATTGTCTTTATTTATAACTTCATGCTGAATGCCTTTTATACATTTACTGTTTCCAACCCTAGTGTTGCAACCTGCTTGTTTCCCACACACACCCATACCTCTATCTTCCATCAGTTTTAAAATCATAGGCATTTCACCAATGGCCTTCTCAATCGAGTCTGCAAGTGCTACCACCCCTGCCCCAGAGAGATGTACCCCATCCCTTGCATACATATCATGTTTGCCATAAAAGTTGTTCCAGTTGTCAATGAATGGGATTGCAAGTTCCTTGCAGTATCTGTCTAGCCAGCAATTTACACCAATTGCCCTAGACAACCATTCATTTCCTACTCCCCTTCTAGGCAAGATGCTTCATATGATTGGGATCCCTCCCTTAGACTTAATGAAATCTATAGCTGACCTGTACTTATCTAGCAGCTCTTCTCTCCTACCCTTCCCAATATCATTTCCACCAGCACTGAGACAGATAATGGGCTTGTTTCCATTACCTGACATGATATTATCCAGCCTGTTGACAATGTCCCCAACACCAGCTCCAGGGAAGCACACTCTATCTCTCATCTTCTTATTCCTATTACAAAAGCACGGTCAACATATCTTACCTGAGAGTCACCAACCACAAGAATGCGCTTACCTTCATTAGCAGGGGCAGTAGTACCCTTACCTTCACTGGCCACTGAAGTACATTCATCCTGGAGAACAGAGAAGCGATTTCCTACCTTCAGATCTTCACTCTTAACTTTCCTTACTCTGATGCGCCTCCCATTACTGTGAACAACTCGCCACTTGTAGCAGGTGCTGGGCTGCACCTCACTGCTGGTAGCCGTTGCTACCTCCCCACCTACAGCCTCCTCACAGTGAGAGACAGACTGCACCTCACTGCTAGAAGCCTCATTCCCCACATCTCCAACCACCTCACACTCTCTCCCAGGCCCATTGAGGTGGACCTTCAGCCTCCTAATCTCCTCCTGGAGAAGCAAGACCTCCTCCTTCAACTCTCCAACCTCAGTTTTTAAAACACTGCAGAAGCAAGCCATGCTTTGTAACCGTTCAAGCCATGCTTTGTAACCGTTCATATGGAATAGGTGGTAAGTTACTAAATGCTGTAAAGAGTTTTTATGATGATAGTGAGGCTTAGATTAGGGTGTGTAGCAGAGAGGGAGAATACTTCCTGGTAAAAGTAGGTCTTAGACAGGGATGTGTAATGTCACCATGGTTGTTTAATATATTTATAGATGGGGTTGTAAAAGAAGTAAATGCTAGAGTGTTGGGGAGAGGGGTGGGATTAAATTATAGGGAATCATATACAAAATTGGAGTTGACATAGTTACTTTTTACTGATGATACTGTGCTTATGGGAGATTCTAAAGAAAAGTTGCAAAGGTTAGTGGATGAATTTGGGAGTGTGTGTGAAGGTAGAAAGCTGAAAGTGAACATAGATAAGAGTAAGGTGATTTTTTTTTTTTTTTAACAAGTCGGCCGTCTCCCACCGAGGCAGGGTGACCCAAAAAGAAAGAAAATCCCCAAAAAGAAAATACTTTCATCATCATTCAACACTTTCACCTCACTCACACATAATCACTGTTTTTGCAGAGGTGCTCAGACCACAACAGTTTAGAAGCATATATGTATAGAGACACAACATATCCCTCCAAACTGCTAATATCCCGAAACCCCTCCTTTAGAGTGCAGGCATTGTACTTCCCATTTCCAGGACTCAAGTCTGGCTATATAAAAAAAAATAACCGGTTTCCCTGAATCCCTTCACTAAATATTGGAGAGAGGGAGTATGGAAGAAGTGAATGTTTCCAGATATGTGTTTGGGAGTTGATGTGTCAGCGGATGGGTTTGTGAAGGATGAGGTTAATCATGAAGGAAAAAAGGTGAGTGTTGCATTGGGGTATATGTGGAGACAAAAAACATTATCTATGGAGGTAAAGAGGAATGTATGAAAGTATAGTGGTACCAACTCTCTTATATGGGTGTGAAGCTTGGGTTGTAAATGCTGCAGTGAGGAGGCGGTTAGAGGCAGTGGAGATGTCGTGTCTAAGGGCAGTGTGTGGTGTAAATATTATGCAGAAAATTCAGAGTGTGGAAATTAGGAGAAGGTGTGGAGTTAATAAAAGTATTAGTCAGAGGGCTGAAGAGGGGTTGTTGAGGTGGTTTGGTCATTTAGAGAGAATGGATCAAAGTAGAATGACATGAAGAGTGTATAAATCTGTAGGGTAAGGAAGGCAGGGTAGGGGTTGTTCTCAACAAGGTTGGAGAGGGTAAAGAAGCTTTCGTGGGCGAGGGGCTTGGACTTCCCCAAGCGTGCATGCATGAGCGTGTTAGATAGGAGTGAATGGAGACGAATGGATTTTGGGACCTGGCGAGCTGTTGGAGTGTAAGCTGGGTAATATTTAGTGAAGGGATTCAAGGAAACCGGTTATTTTTACAAAAATTAGACACATGTGCAACTCTTGGGTATCTTTATTGAGGAAGCGTTTTGCCACACAGTGGCTTCATCAGTCCATACAAAGGAGAATCTTGAAGAACAGGAGGAGAATGAGGTAATCAGTCCCTCAACCTTGAGTCGATGTGGTCATTCCATCAATCTTGAAGAGAATACGGCATACGTGCGGAGAAGGAGCTTATAAACCATAGGCAGGAGAGGTGCAGCAGTCATAGGCTCCTTCTCCGCACGTATGCCGTATTCTATTCAAGATTGATGGACTGACCACATCGACTCAAGGTTGAGGGACTGATTACCTCATTCTCCTCCTGTTCTTCAAGATTCTCCTTTGTATGGACTGATGAAGCCACTGTGTGGCAAAACGTTTCCTCAATAAAGATACCCAAGAGTTGCACGTGTGTCTAATTTATCAACATGTCGGTTCTCTGAACCATTCATCTTCAAATATTTTTATATAGCTGGACTTGAGTACTTGAAATGGGAAGTACAATGCTTGCACTTTAAAAGAGGGGTTTAGGATATTGGCAGTTTGGAGGGATATGTTATATATCTTTATATATGCTTCTAAACTGTTTTATCTGAGCACCTCTGCAAAAACAGTGATTATGTGTGAGTGAGGTGACAGTGTTGAATGATGATGAAAGTATCTTCTTTTTGGGGATTTTTTTTTCTTTTTTGGGTCACCCTGCCTCAGTGGGAGATGGCCGACTTGTTGAAAAAAAAAAAAAGCTGCCAGTGGTACTTTTAACCAAGTTGAATTCTGGCTACTACATCATAACAGCTTTAAAACTGGAACTGGTAATAGATATGTAAATTTTCAGGAACTGACCCTCCAGCACAGATGTCAGGAGGCTCCTTCAAGAAACCAGTTTTCTTTGATTGTATTCGTGAGGAATACCAGGCATGTAGAGAAGGTGTGGGCATCATTGACCTTTCTTCCTTTACCAAAATTAAAATTACAGTAAGTTGCAAAACACAAGTATGAAATTTGTTGAACTTAGATTGTGTTTTACACCTTTGGTAGGATGCATCCTAATTATTGTTTCATTCATGTTATTTAAAGCTACATCCATACATCAGTCAGTGATACATAATAGTGCATAACAAATACAGTGCATATAACAAAACTTTTTTTTTTAGTGTAGGCCCAAACAGAAGCAAAATTGTTCATTAACTACAGTAATGCTTAGCCATTTAAAAAAGTCATCAACTATTATAGAGAGGATAACTCCACAGATGTGGTGGTAATTTATTCCTCAGAATGGCAGTGTAATAGAAAATTGAGAAGGTGTAGAAGTCTGGTCTTGAATTAGTAGGGGTGTTAATGTTGCAGTTTAAAAACTGTAGTGTAAAGCACCCTTCTGGCAAGACAGTGATGGATTGAATGATGGTGAAAGTTTTTTCTTTTTCGGGCCACCCTGCCTTGGTGGGAATCGGCCAGTGTGATAATAAAAATAAAATAAATTTAATCTTATATTTTAAATAAAATTTGTTATTTTTGTTCTTATGCCTTTTAATTTTTCATAAAGTTCCCTCCCTTTCTACCCTCCTTTCCCTTACCCAAAAAGTTGGTTCAGATTCAGACTTCGACAGTTTAATATTGATAAGCATAACTGATCGAATGATACCTGGAGTATACCTGGAGGGGGTTTTGGGGGTCAATGCCCTCATAGCCCGGTCCATGACCAGGCCTCATAGTGGATCAGGGCCTGATCAACCAGGCTGTGTACAAGCCACAGCCCAGCTGGTCAGGTAGGTACTGGCTTTAGGAACCTGTCCAGTGCCTTCTTGAAGACAGCCAGGGGTCTATTGGTAATCCCCCTTATGTATGCTGGGAGACAGTTGAACAGTCTTGGGCCTCTGACACTTATTATGTTCTCTCTTAGAGTACTCGTGGCACCCCTGCTTTTCATTGGGAAAATGCTTCATCTCCTGCCAAATCTTTTGCTTTTATAGGGAGTGATTATTGTGTGCTGATTTGGGAGTAGTCCCTCTGCAAAAGTTGAAAGTTGAAAGAGAGCATAGATAAGAGTAAGGTGATGAGGGTATCAAATGATTTAGATAAAGAAAAATGGATATCACATTGGAGAGAGGGAGTATGGAAGAAGTGAATGTTTTCAGATATTTGGGAGTTGACATGTCAGCAGATATGTTTATGAAGGATGAGGTTAACCATAAAAATGGTGAAGGAAAAAAGGTGAGTGGTGCATTGAGGTATATGTGGAGACAAAAAACGTTATCTATGGAGGCAAAGAAGGGAATGTATGAAAGTATAGTAGTACCAACTCTCTTATATGGGTGTGAAGCTTGGGTTGTAAATGCTGCAATGAGAAGGTGGTTGGAGGCAGTGGAGATGTCCTGTCTAAGGGCAATGTGTGGTGTAAATATTATGCAGAAAATTCGGAATGTGGAAATTAGGAGGTGTGGAGTTAATAAAAGTATTAGTCAGTAGGCTGAAGAGGGGTTATTGAGGTGGTTTGGTCATTTACAGAAAATGGATCAAAGTCGAATGACATGGAGAGCGTATAAATCTGTAGGGAAAGGACGGCGGGGTAGGGGTCATCCTCGAAAAGGTTGGAGGGAGGGGGTAAAGGAGGTTTTGTAGGCAAGGGGCTTATACTTCCAGCAAGTGTGCGTGAGCATGTTAGATAAGAGTGAATGGAGACGAATGGTTTTTGGGACCTGACGAGCTGTTGGAGTATGAGCAGGATAATACTTAGTGAAGGGATTCAGGGAAACTGATTATTTTTATATAGCTGGACTTGAGTACTGGAAATGGGAAGTACAATGCTTGCACTTTAACCCTTTCAGGGTCCGTCCCGTAGATCTACGGCTTTACGTTCAGGGTCCAAACTGTAGATCTACGTCATGAGCTCAGCTCACTCTGATAAACTGTGAGTGGTAAATTTGGGCCTAGATATGAGAGAATACATCTATGTGGTATGTGTGCACCACATAAAACAAATCCTGCAGCACACTGTGTATAATGAGAGAAAAAAAACTGAGACCATGATTTTCGATTAAAACAGCGACTTTGCAGTGTTTTTTCGTATGTTTTTTATAGTTGTATTTGTGATTTCTTGGTCTCATTTGATAGAATGGAAGACATATTACAGAAATAGAGATAATTTTGATTGGTGTTAGCACTGGAAATGGCTTGAAATTGAGCTCAAAGTGGCAGAAATGTTAAATTTTTGCCGATGTTCAAGAGTAAACAAACGACCTCACACGTCTAATACACGCCAGCTGGTGGGTCTAATATACATTCACAAATGTGGTGATGATATTTATACAATTATTACAATATTGCATAACAGTAAATCTTCTATTTTTTGGTGTGAATAAAAATTCATTATGTGAATAAAAAATCAAAATGGAATTTATTTGTAAAGCCTCAAAACATAACTCATGAACAGAGGAAATGTTAGTTTAGTGCCAGGAATACCTACATTGTTTATTCTGGACCCTATTTTGAAATTGGAATATTTTGAACTTTGTGTTAAATTGGCCAAATTACCAATTTCCGGTCACTTTATTTTGGAGTTAAAACAGTTGACTTAGCGATTTCTTGTGCTCAATCGATAGAATAGAAGTAATACTAGTGAAATAGCTGAGAATTTGGTCGACTGGAATATTGTAATTGGCCTAAAATGGGAGTCAAAGTCGGCAAAATCGCCGATTCGTAAATATCGCTGACACATCAAAATTCACGAGAGCATAATTTCGTCAATTTTCCATCAAATTTCGTACTTTTTGTTTTATTACATTCACAAAAAGATTCTCTACCATTTCATAAGAAAAAATAAAATTTTTTTTTTTGGAAAATTCATGGACACTGGGGCACCACTTCAGATTTTGGCCTTGGACCCTGAAAGGGTTAACCCTTTCAGGGTCGACAGGCCCTCTCCTAAACTTGTTCTCAGGGTCGAAAATTTTTCGGGGAAAAAAAAATTTCTTATGAAATGATAGAGAAGCTTTTCTCGATCATAATGACACCAAAGGTATGAAATTTGATGGAAAACTTATGGAATTATGCTCTCGTGAAGTTATCGGTCACAATGATGTTTACACATCGGCGATTTCGCCTACTTTGAGCCCTATTTTCGGCCAATTCCAGTATGCTAGCTGACAAAAATCGTAACTGTTTTGCTAGAACTCTGTTTTTTCTATCGAATGAGTACAAGAAACCACCCATTTACTGATTCCAACTATTCAATAAAGTGGTCAGAAATTGGCAATTTTGCCAATTTCACACAAATTTCAAAAGATGCCACTTTCCAAATAGGGTCCAGAATAAACAAGACAGACATTCCTGGCACTAAAATAACATTTCCTCTGTTCATTAGTCACGTCCCCAGGCCTCTCTTACATTTCTGTTGCTTTTCACTTTGAATTTTTATTCTCACAAAAAATAGAAGATTTACTGTTATGCAGACTACCGCACTGGTGTAGAAATTATATAAATAATATCAGCACACTTGTGAAAAAATATTAGACTCACCAGTTGACGTGTATTGGACGCGTGGCATGATTTGTTTACTTTTGAACTTTGGCAAAAATCGAACATTTCTGCTAATTTGGGCTCAATTTCAAGGTACTTTTCATTGTGAAACCAATCAAAATCATCTCAATTTCTGTAATATGTCTTCCATTCTATAAAATGAGACCAGGAAAACTAGACACAACCATAAATACCATACGAAAATACAGTGCAAAGTTGTTGTTTTAAACCAAAAACACGGTCAAAGTTTTTTTTCTCATGCACTGTGCGCTGCAGGTTTTTTTTTATACTGTGCACACTGACCATATAGACCCATTCTCTCATATGTAGGCCTACCAGCTTTCTCTCGCTAGATTTGAAGGCACTAGAATTTACGCATACTAGTACGTCAATAACCCTGGTGCGTAAAACGTACTAGTACACAGGAAACCCTGAAAGGGTTAAAGGAGGGGTTTGAGATATTGGCAGTTTGGGGGCATATGTTATATATCTTTATATATGTTTCTAGACTGTTGTATCTGAGTGCCTCTGCAAAAACAGTGACTATGTATGAGTGAGGTGAAAGTGTTGAATGATGATGAAAGTATTTTCTCTTTGGGGTTTTCTTTCTTTTTGGGTCACCCTGCCTCTGTGGGAGACGACCGACTTGTTGAAAAAAAAAAAATTTGCCTGCATTCCAGGAAGTGATAGTGAATATGTGTTTTTTTTTGTGTGTAAACTGTTAGGGTAAAATAAAATAAAAACTGCAGTGTTCTTTTGTTTTATCACATTTCAGAGTTTTGGGGAATATAAATATTGTACTGTGTTAGGTAATATTGGTGTTGAGGAAGACACTGATTTGCACATTTTATTAGCTTAGTATTCTGATCATCTCATCAAGCTTGTAAAGAGCATGCTTTTAAAAACCAAATTATAAAAAAGTATACATGCAGTAAAAGTAAATGGTCCCTCCATAAAGTGGATAATCGTTAAATCAGAGAAAAATCTGACTGAACAAAGGCTTAACTTGTATGTTTAATGGGATGTCTGATTAAAATAGCCATAAGATTGACCTAATCTGCTATATTGAATGGTTGTCCAGTCCATTGGTGGATGCAGATGGTGGGTAATCCTGGTGGTGGCAGGTGATGCTGGTAGATAGTGGGGGAGTGATGGTGGTGGTGGAGCTGGAGGTGGTGGAGCTGGAGGTGGTGAGTGATGGTACTGCTAGATGATAATGGATGCAGGAAAGAAGTCATGAGTGGTGGTAGTTTGGCAGAGGCAAGCCTCATGTGTCCAACTGGAAATAATGTAGCCAGAGACAAAATGATCGTTTACAAGAAGTGGTATATCTCAAATGTATGATAATGATGATAATGCTCTGTTTCTCTGAGCATATTTTAATCATCATTTTCATTTGTATTAGTGTTTATGCTATTTTAGTCTAGGTTGATGGCAGTCTTAATGCCAATTACAGTCAGTTGTCCATAACCCTAATGCAATACTGTACATGAAATTGGAAATTGAAACTCATCCTCTGGCAATCCTTCATTTCCCTCAAGCATCTGTCAGTATTTATCAGTGTAAAAAAAACTCTGTACATGCAGAGAGAAATTTAATCTATAATAACCCAGTAATAATACTGTAATAATTATAATACCAACCTTGGCTGACTGGCTCCTTAGCTGGCTAACTCTCTGGCTGGCTGGCTCTCTGATTGGCTGGCTTCCTGGCTGGCTGGCTCCCTGGCTGGCTGGCTCCCTCACTGGCTGGCTTACTGGCTGGCTGGCTGGCTCCCTGACTTCTTCCCTTCTTTCCTTTCATTTCCTTACCCTACCTGCCCTGTCTTTCCCTGTCTGCACTAATTGTAAACAATTATTTTGACTTTGTCAACATAATTTCCAGTTGGACATGAGAGGCTTGTCTCTACCACCACAGTAAAAATGGACAGGTCCTGGATTAAGCCTTGATGGTATAAACTTATGATTAAGCAGAGTTGGTACATTTTACCAAGCTTACAACTAAACTGGCCACTTACTTGATATTACAGATTTTTTTCGCTTCATCACTACCTTAATAGGACATCCCATTGTATGTACATGCTGAGCCTTTGTTTGGCCACATTTTTGTCTGTTTTACCTGATATCTGCTTTTTGGGGGTCTATTTTAGAGAATGTTTTCTGTTTTGTATAATGAATTTTTGTATAATGCATTTTTGTTATAAATGATGTCTTCTCTTTCAAGTCTGCAGGATTAGATAAATATAAGCAGTTTGATGCAGATGAAACAAAGGTAAATTTTATATTAGATGCACTGTTTTTTTTTTGTGTTGCTGCCTTATGTGTTGTTTGTGTGTTACTATCTTATGTACAGTTTGTGTGGTGCCATTTCATATGTTGTTAGATTGTTGCTTTCTTATATGTTTTTGTGTCTTGCTGATGTGTTTGTGTATTGCTTCCTTATATGTTGCTGTGAAGTGTGTTGTTTGGATTTTATAACATCCAAACAACACACTTGTATATGTTGTTCATGTGTTGCTTTCTTGTGTGTACCTTTCTTTGTGAATTGCCTTGTGTGCTGCTTTTGTGTGCTACTGTTTGTGCATTGCTTGTGTTACTTTCCAGTCTACTGTTTGTGCATTGCTTGTGGTACTTTCCAGTCTGCTGTTTGTGCATTGCTTGTGTTACTTTTCAGTCTGTTGTTTATTATGCATTCTTGTAGACTTTGTGTGTTGTTTATGTGTGGCTTGTGCACTGAGAAAGCACTGGTTTAAATAATAATATTGCATGCAGTGTGCTCTTGAGTTGTTGTGACAGCAAAATGATAAAAGCCCCATATTGTCTGGGTAAATAATAGTTTTAACAAGCTGGCATTCTCTCTAATTTTTTTTTATTGTTTTTTAGTGGGTGGGGTCAGGTAAAATGGCAAGGACAGTACAGTTTATCTATTTTTCCTGTAATAAGATTTTTCTCTTATTTGATTTACTTCTTGTGCTTCATGAGGTGTTGCACACTAGAAAAGAATACGTCCCTTATTCAGAGAATAGAGAAAATCACAGATGTGATCGAAGCTATGAAACTCAAGTTACCATACTCTTTTATGGGGCTCTGAGTCAGACTTAGAGATGTATAATACAATATCCACACATTCCCACAAACAGACAAAATATTAACCCTTTCAGGGTCCGTCCCGTAGATCTACGGCTTTACGGTGAGTGTCCAAACCGTAGATCTACACCATGAGCTCAGCTCACTCTGATAAACTGTGAGTGGTACATTTGGGCCTAGATATGAGAGAATACATCTATGTGGTATGTGTGCACCACATAAAACAGATCCTGCAGCACACTGTGTATAATGAGAGAAAAAACTGAAATCATGATTTTTCGATTAAAACAGCAACTTTGCAGTGTTTTTTCGTATGTTATTTATAGTTGTATTTGCGATTTCTTGGTCTCATTTGATAGAATGGAAGACATATTACAGAAATAGAGATGATTTTGATTGGTTTTAGCACTGGAAATGGCTTGAAACTGAGCTCAAAGTAGCGGAAATGTTAAATTTTGGCCGATATTCAAGAGTAAACAAACGACCTCACACGTCTAATACACGCCAGCTGGTGGGTCTAATATACATTCACAAATATGGTGATGATATTTATACAATTATTACAGTATTGCATAACAGTAAATCTTCTATTTTTAGGTGTGAATAAAAATTCATTATGTGAATAAAAAATCAAAATGAAATTTATTTATAAAGCCTCAAAACATAACTAATGAACAGAGGAAATGTTAGTTTAGTGCCAGGAATGCCTACATTGTTTATTCTGGACCCTATTTTGAAATTGGAATATTTTGAACTTTGTGTTAAATTGGCCAAATTAACAATTTCCAATCACTTTATTTTGTAGTTGAAAGAGTTGACTTGGCGATTTCTTGTGCTCAATCGATAGAATAGAAGTAATACTAGTGAAATAGCTAAGAATTTGGTTGATTGGAATAATGTAATTGGCCTAAAATAGGAGTCAAAGTCGGCAAAATCGCCGATTCGTAAATATCGCTGACACATCAAAATTCGCGAGAGCATAATTTCGTCAATTTTCCACCAAATTTCGTACTTTTTGTTTTATTACCTTCACAAAAAGATTCTCTACGATTTCATAAGAAAAAATAACAAATTTTTTTTTTGAAAATTCTTGGACACTGGTGCGTGACTCCAGATTTGGGCCTTGGACCCTGAAAGGGTTAAGGAATCAATTTGTTCACTAACCTATATTTTGACTGGGATTGTGCTTTATTTTTTCTGCTGCTCAATGACTCTTATATACTGACTAATCTTTTCTTTAACATTACGTATATAACAAATGAGATCAAGCAGACTTGAATAACTATAGGCCAATATCCAACTTACCCATTCTCTCTAAAATCTTTGAAAAATTAATTCATAAGCGAATCTATTCTTACCTCATCTCCCACAACATACTCAACCCCTGTCAGTTTGGGTTCAGGCCTAATAAAAATACGAATGATGCTATTATACACATGCTATTTATTTATTTATTTTTATTTGGAGTATGGAAGAAGTGAATGTTTTCAGATATTTGGGAGTTGACGTGTCAGCGGATGGATTTATGAAGGATGAGGTTAATCATAGAATTGATGAAGGAAAAAAGGTGAGTGGTGCATTAAGGTAAATGTGGAGGCAAAAAATGTTATCTATGGAGGCAAAGAAGGGAATGTATGAAAGTATAGTAGTACCAACACTCCTATATGGGTGTGAAGCTTGGGTTGTAAATGCAGCAGCGAGGAGGCGGTTGGAGGCAGTGGAGATGTCCTGTCTAAGGGCAATGCGTAGTGTAAATATTATGCAGAAAATTTGGAGTGTGGAAATTCGGAGAAGGTGTGGAGTTAATAAAAGTATTAGTCAGACGGCTGAAGAGGGTTTGTTGAGGTGGTTTGGTCATTTAGAGAGAATGGATCAAAGTAGAATGACATGGAGAGCATATAAATCTGTAGGGGAAGGAAAGCGGGGTAGGGGTCGTCCTCAAAAAGGTTGGAGGGAGGGGGTAAAGGAAGTGTTGTGGGCGAGGGGTTTGGACTTCCAGCAAGCGTGCGTGAGCGTGTTAGATAGGAGTGAATGGAGACAAATGGTATTTGGGACCTGATGAGCTGTTGGAGTGTGAGCAGGGTAATATTTAGTGAAGGGATTCAGGGAAACCGGTTATTTTACATAACCGTACTTGAGTCCTGGAAATGGGAAGTACAATGCCTGCACTCTAAAGGAGGGGTTTGGGATATTGGCAGTTTGGAGGGATATACAGGTCTCCCTCAACATTCACGTTTTCAGCTTTCACGGGCTTCACACATTCACGAATTCCCAACCGCCAAATTCCCAGCCACCAAATTCCCAGCTGCCAAATCATATTTAAGTTTCCCGCCACCTGCGAGTCCCTACTACCCTCCCTCCGACCCCCGCAACTGGCAGCCAGCCCTCCCACCACTGTGTGGTGAGTGTTTTGTTTGTTCATTATTTGCTATTAAACTACAGTATAAATAATGTAAACCCATTCATGACTGCATATTGGAATGGCTATTCGGACAGGTATTAGACGGAGACATCATGTGTTTACTCTTGAACACAGCAAAGAATTAAACATTTCTGCTACAGCTAATAATAACAATAGTAATAATAATAATAATAAATATGATATAATTGAAGAAGGAAGTTGTACAAAAATACGAGGGAGTGGTTGACACATCGTCAGTGTGACTTTGTTTATGCTGGAGTGAACATTAGTCTCCCTGCTCTTCCAAACATTTCACAATAATTCATTGTGTTTGGTGCTTGTAGATTGAGTGTGACTAGAGTGGTAGAGGCAGTGATTGAGGCAATGGTATTTAATAACATACATGTTAATAATAATACATGCTATTAATAATATGTACTATTATTATTTATAACATATACGTATGTTATTAAATACATACATGTTAATAATAATACATGTTATTAATAATAACATGTACTATTATTATTTATAACATATATGTTATTAAATACCACTGCCTCAACTGCTGAATTATTGTGAAATGTTTGGAAGAGCAGGGAGACTAATGTTCACTCCAGCATAAACAAAGTCACACTGACGATGTGTCAACCACTCCCTTGTATTTTTGTACAATTTCCTTCTTCAATTATCGTATTTATTATTATTATTATTATTATTATTATTATTATTATTATTATTATTATTATTATTATTATTATTACTATTATTATTATTAGCAATAGCAGAAATGTTCGATTCTTTGCTGTGTTCAAGAGTAAACACATGATGTCACCGTCTAATACCTTTCCTAATAGCCATTCCAATATAAAGTCATGAATGGGTTTACATTATTTATTCCATAGTTTAATAGCAAATAATAAACACACAAAACACTCACCACACAGTGGTGGGAGGGCTGGCTGCCAGTTGTGGGGGTCTGAGGGAGGGTAGTAGGGACTCACAGTGGTGGAGGTAGTGGTGGAGTCTGTGGTATTTAATAACATACATGTTATTAACATACATGTTATTAAATAACATACATTATTAAAGCATAACATGTATATATTTAGTACAATTTATGACGTTTTCATGTATTTTATGATTATTCATGGTTCAACAAGTTAAGGAAGCAGTATTGTAATATATTTCCCTACAATATATTGGGGCACCAAACATTCATGGTTTTTCAACATTCGCGAGGCTCTTGATCCCCTAACCCTCGCGAATGTTGAGGGAGACCTGTATTGTGTATTTTTATACATATATACTTCTAAACTGTTGTGTTCTGAGCACCTCTGCAAAAACAGTGATTATGTGTGAGTGAGGTGAAAGTGTTGAATGATGATGAAAGTATTTTCTTTTTGGGGATTTTCTTTCCATTTTGGGTCACCCTGCCTCGGTGGGAGACGGCCGACTTGTTGAAAAAAAAAACATAGATACATAGTTATACAAAAGAAATACAGTGGTTGAGTGTACATGCCAAAAGCCCCTTGTATGCAGAGCATTGTGGGCAGGCTTAAAATTAACTTAAGATTAACTAAGCAATGATATATTCAGTGGTAAAAATGCAGTAAACAAATTACAACATGAAGTACAAATGAGTATTTGAAATAAGAGGCTTTATTGTTGTACAGATTTGTAACACATTTGATGAGTCACTGAGCATTCAAGAGAATGGAGTATTCTATTAGGTTATGTAATTACAAAAAAAAAAAAACATAGTTTGATAGGGTCACAGGTTA